ATTCAGTGATCTGATAGAAGCCTTTTCAATACTATTTGTGAATACATAAAAGAGAACAAAACTACTTTTTTGAAGAATTACCTTAAAGTACAACTCAAGATTCCCCTGATAGTCACACAAAGCATAATCGATAAGTTTTGTTATAAAATGAGGAAAAATTTCAAGAAGGACATATTGAATCGCCACTGTAAAAAAGTTATAGAGTGGGAAAAGAAGCAGAATATTACTGGAAAGGACAAACAAATCAAAAAATATAGGCACCAATCTATCATGCAAGTTATATAAGAACAGGAAGAAAAATCCACACTTGCAGAAGATCCGGAACAAGAAGTCTCTAAAAGAAAGGAGGAAACGAAGTATATAGAAATCATTAAGGATTGGATTTGTTACGAAAGGAAATGGTTTGGTTTTTAACTGCAGTTGGAATTTAGAATGATCTATAGTAATAATCTGTAGGCAATGATTTTATTGACCAGAGGATTTATCCAAGTCATTAAAGGAGCAAAATATCATTCCCTAAGTTGCATATAGAGAAATAGTTTTTAGACGATGGGTGAGTTAATATGTGAAAGTTAAAATAATTTGTAATATCTGATATATATACAATAAAGACAAGCCATGCTGACCTGACTGTGGATTAAAAAAAAAAAATATATTCTTTTTCTTTATTAGTTTTACTATTTATATTCAAAGAGATCAAAAATTTTTTTTTAATTATTTTCTATAAATTCTTTTTGAATCCTCTTTTTTATGCTTTTCATTTAGAGATACAGACTTAACTATCTGCACAAATCTCAATAATGTTGTTAATAGGAATTATAAGAAGTATAATTAAAATTGTCACCAGTTCAACTCTTATAAATAAGAACTAGTTGTTTACTTCTATTTGAAACTTGCTTTTTCTTTCTTTTTTTTCTATTTGAATCTAAAAAGCTTTTATTTTTATTTATTCATTTCTATAATTAATAAGTGATCTATCTGTAGGATTTGATTTTTTTTTTTTATATTTAATAATATTTAATATCTCTTATTATTTTTTGAAATAAATTATTTTTATTTTATAGTCAAATATAATACTTGCTTTAGACTTTTTTTAAAAATATTTTTTTCAGTTTTTAATAGTATTTATTGATAGTTTTTTGAATTACTAATAAAGAATTTTATAAAATTTGAAATATTTTTAATTTTATAATTATATATAGTATATAGTTATATATTATATTATATAGACTAAAAACTCTTTCTGCTAATCTCCAGTTTTTTAAAAAAATTTCTTTTTGGCAATTTTTTTGAAAAACAAAAAAAGCTAGTTACAATACAAGAGAAACTTTCAGTAAAACTAAAAATAATAAGAAATAACTATATAAAACCAATTCTTAATATATCTAATATTTTAACAACAAAAAATAAAAAGTATTAGTACACTTTATTTATACTTTATAGATTTTCTTTTTTTTACAAAAGAAAGAAAACTTCAAAAAAACTTATTTACAATAAGCTCTTTAAGACTTAATCTCAACTTTCTAAGCTCTCAGTTAAATCAATATATGTTAATACCTTTCTTAACATTAAGAAAAATTCTATAAACAATAGGTCAAGTTAATAAATTAGTTTAGATTCAAGGTTCACAACATCTATAAGGAGATTCAAGTTTCTTTTACTAAATAGTAAAGAGTATTAAAATATTATAACAACAATACATAATAATTATTATATTGCATAAAATATAAACCTATTATTCAAGAATATAATAACTTATTTACAATATATGTTAAATAAATAATTTTATCAAAATATGATCAACTTCTCAATCTTATGTATTTTAATCAAACTGTTTTGATAAATTAACTTGAATTAAAGTAAACTATAATGTACATATGATCAAAGTAACAAACTATTGAAAATGACTCTAATTGACTTAGAAATACTATACCAAGTTACTAAAAAAGTGTAATATTTTTTACTAAATCTAATTTAAAATATTTAGTTAAGATTTAATTTTGTTTAATCTTAACTAACTTAGTAGATACTTTATATTTTTTAAATAGTTTAGTTTTTTTACTAATAATATACAAAGATAAGTTAGTTGTTATAGAAGAATATCTATGGATTATTTTAGTATTTTTTCAAGTATCTTAATAAAGACAAGTCATTTCAATATGATTGTAGATTAATTAAAAAAAAAAACTTATATATTGTATATATATATAAATTAATAATAATCTATTGTAACTAATCTAGTTAAATCAGCTTGTATTTTAATAATAGACAAACTCAGTTAAGAATCAAATGGTTAAATACTTAATTATTTATAATAAGTTTCAATTTATTAATATTAAGTTTTACAAATTTTTATTGATTTATTAAATTAATTCAATTACATATGTATCTATATACTTTATATACTTTTCAATATACTTAGATATTATTTGTTCAGATCTCAAAAAGAGATATATTATTTTTTTGTTATCACTTGTAGCATTATATCAGTTCCTATTGATTGATTTTTATTTAAATAAAACATTAGATTGAAATATTTAAGCTATGAAAGTGGATTTTCTGAAGTTTGTCAAGAACAAAAAAATCTGAAGGCATTTGTGAGAGTTAAATCAAAAACCTTTCTTTATATAATTCTTTCAATAATATAATTATAGATCTTAACTTTTGATCAACAGAAGGTTAGAAGTTTCACATTAATACAATTTAATTTTGTTTAATGAATCTGAATAATTGGATACAACTTTAACAAGATAATTAGTAAATGGAATTAAAAGAAAATTGTTAATTTTAATTCTTAAATAATATTGAAACTATAGACTTTGTGATTGTGACTTGGAAGCAATACTACTGTATTATTGATTTACAAATCTTAAGTAATATAATTCTTTAACTATATATAAATTAATTATTATATAAAAGTCAATATAATATTTATAATATTCAATTTTTCAATAAAGACAAGCCATTGTGACATAATTGTAAGTTAGCAATAATAATAATATTGATAATATTCTATGAATACCAATAAAAATATTGATAAAAATATTAAAAAATCTACAATATATAAACAATATTTAAAAAACCAAATTATACTTTTTAATATATAAATTAATCAATTATAACAATCAACATTATGATCATTTTAATTGAAAAAAATTTGCATTGATCAAACAAGGTAACAGTTTATTGAATAAAAATATAGGTGACTGACTATAAAAGTTAATATCGGACAGAAGTTGAAAAAAAAACGAATCTAATATTCCACAATTTACTATCTTCTTTTACAAAGGGAAAGAGGGTCTAGTAATGAAGTAAAGAAATGCATATTTCAAAGAAACCAATAGAACGTGAATCGCCAAAAAAGAAAAATGCAAATGAAAGTTTGGCGAGGATGAGATATAATATTTTATCTTAAGGTTCATATCATACAAGTATTGGTTTTTAGTTAAAGGTCTAGGATAATACATTCTCGAAATATACTCCTTTTACATCTTTACCCCTCATCGATTGTTTGACATTGTATTCAAAGTTTTTTCGGTTTGATCTCAAATCTTCAGCAGCATCTTAAACAATCATAAATAATAAATTAAAATGATATTTGCATATAATATCAATTTTTTTAAAAATAAATGCGATCTACCTTTGTTAAGGGGATCGTCGGCATTTGGTTCCAAGAACAAATATTGCAATCCCACCAACACCGAATTCAAATTCAATACAGGCTTCCAATCCTCGCGAAGAATGTTCAGACATACATTGCCCTCAAGGTCAATATTGGGATGATAGATCTTTTAATGTGCAAATTGTAAAAAAAAAAAACCGAATAAGTTAGTAAGTAACTACACCCTTTAAATTTAAAAATCCAAAGCTTACCTTTTGGGTACAGCGAACTTTCGGAGGATCATGAGGATAATTGTTGTTTATATTAAAAGTAAATTTGAACACACCACCCCTATAAAAGCCTAGAACGCGACAATCAAATAAGTAAACATCTTTTTAGCTTATCTAAATTCCCGTAAAAATTATTGTATTTCTCTTAACACAAACCTTCATCAGGTGTTATAGACAAATTAAAATTAAGGAGATCATTCTCGTCGGGGAAAGTCATTTGCATCGTCTCTGGGAGCGCTAGTTCAGTCAAATCTAAATATTTTTTATAAATGATAAATACAGGTAAGATTTTATTTACAGCAAATAGAAACAAAGGACTAGTTTGACAAGTAGAAATCTTCTTGCCAGTGTGGCCGAAGAAAGAAGTGTTTTTGTTTTGAGGACCGAACGACTGCGACACAACGCAAACGAATCATCAACCGATGGAAAGGAGTAAGGAGGAAAATAGGCCAAAAAAGCATACCTTTTTGAACACGAATCTGAGCTGCACTGACTTTTGGCTTCTTCTTTTCCGCAGCAGAATTATCTTTTTTGATCGACCAAATCTTTATCATTTTGTCTAAATATGTTTGACAAGTTTCTTTCGTCTACGCAAAAGTAATTGTGAATAAACAGATCCAAAGAGAGTCGCAAGAATAGTCATTGTAAAAACAAGGTTAAATGAAAGCCACTTTGCAATAAATACTTTACTATTAGTCAAGCTCTTCGAGGTTGGATCCTGATGAAAAGGAAGATAATGAAGATAATGTCCGTTTTTTCAAAGTTACAGTATATATATCTCGTGCATAATCAAATGGCATTACTTATTGCGTCACTCTTTCTTTGTGATGTTTATCAACCATATATATTTTAATTTACTTTTTGATTCAAAGTTATACTATTAAACTATTTCCATTCTATTTATATTTTCTTTAGTCCATTGCTTAATTTAAATATTAGTTTTAAAAATCAATAAAATATTTGTATAACAAGAAAAGATACTTTGAAAAAAATTTTTTGATTGAAAGAAATAAAATATTAAAAAATATAATATAAAAATTTTGAAAACTCTTACTTACTTTTTTTTTATATAAAAATTTCTTTTTGGATAATTTTTTTTTTTTTTTTTAATCCGCAATTATGCCACAATGATATATCTTTATTGAAATATTGAAAGATACCACAATGTTTACAGACTTTTACAAAATGACTAACTCGTTTTTTTTTTTTTTTTTTTTAACCCACTGTCAGGCTAGTTATGTGCGCTTTATTAAACAAAAGTAAACTATACATAC